GGGTCTGCTTTTATTTGACATGTTCCTATTGGTAAAGTAGAGGATGAACAGGAAACTGTCTGTCAACATAAACGTCCTGCTGAGTCAGGCTTAAATGAAATGTAACTGTCACTGTATTTGAAGTCTTCATGATTTGTATATATTCAGAGTTTTTCTGCAAACTAAGAAACAAACCTTCCAGAAATACTTTGAAAGTTTTGACAATAGCTATTAACAATTGTGCCAGCTCAATGTGCAATTAGATGAAAACATTGTGTTGTTTTTCGAAAGAATTCCTGGGAAGCATTGGAAATTTGTGGCTGAAGAGAAAGCAGACATTTTTTAAAAGGTCAGAAAAACAACTGAAATGCATAACCACTGTTATGCAATCAGTGGCATGTGTATGGTTGCAGAACATCAGAGCAGGGAAATAATCATGTTGTTGAATTTGATGTTTTACACAGGAACAGATTAGCATGCTGTCATGCTGAAGATCAGGTAAATCAAGCAGAGCACGATGCGTAGATTTAGGCAGTATCTCGATTGCTCCAAACAAGTAAAAGAGCGTGTTGCAGCACGATGCTTTTTTTCCTGAACACCCTGTTATCAGATAACAGGGTTCTCATGCCTGAACACTAAGCATGTAACGTCTTCTGTATGCGCTTTAGCCTTTTAGCTAAATTTGTTAAATTATGGAAAGCAGGGAGAACATATCACACATTTACTCTAATAAGCATGTGTTTGATTGTTTTTGCTGTTTGACAGTTTAAAAACAAAGATATTTCTCTATCATATATTTTTTAAATTGCACCCAGACCTCATCTGTGGCGAGGAAAGCTGTCGGATTTGGATGATGTCAGACAGTTAGTGTTTACTCTCACTAGTGCCTGTGCGTTTGGAAAGCTGAATGATATACTGCTGCTCAGGGGCATTTTCTGAGCTGGACAACTATTGTGTTTTTCAGAGAGTTTTGTTTTTAATCCTTGCCGATCCCCTCTGCCCCGCATTCATGCATGCATACTCTTTTGTAATTTTATTTGTCAGACAATGTAATCAAATGAAAGGTAAGCACTCTCCAACAAACAACAGTAATTGTTACTGGCCATTGTATTAAGCCATCCAATGTGCACTTGAACACAAAGCGTTTTTTTTAGGTTGTTTGGGACATTCAGGTGATTTGCGTCATTCACTTATGTTTTTCAATGTATTTCTTCCACTCGCAAACATAAATAAGTGACCAAGGATGATTCAAACATGATGCCATCTATCCTGTGTGTGTAAAGGGGCAATAACCTCTTAGGTTACACTTGCATCTGTTTAGCATTTGGTCAATCAACACAAAGTCGTCTAAGAGGAAATTAAACATAAGTATTTATCTAAAAGAAAAAAAAGTGCTGCATAATTTTCAGACACTGAGGTGAAACATTATTGCTTGCTAACTTGTTTCTGGATGAAGCTAAAGAGAGCAGACCCAAGCATCTCAAGAGAGCCATCTGGCTTGGAAGGCTTGACTCTCAGCCGTTGTTTCACCTCATACATCAAATGTGCAGCAAAAGTGTTAAAAGCTCCAGATTATTTCCTGGAACAGGGAACCACTGGGTCTAACAACACATGTTTCAGAGGACCTTGATTGGTCTGAAGCAACAATGGACTGAAAAAGCTAAGTGGGAGCAGCAGTACTGTAGATCTGGCAGGCTATCATAACAGCACAATATAGAAGCCTAATTAGCCTCACACCTCGAAGCCCATTAGTTCCAATTGAGCTTCCATCGAATGGCCAACGTGATTCCCCACATCCTGCATTAAAGGCATCCGAGCAGACACATTGTACTTGACAAATGTGCACAAATAAAGAAAGGGAGTTCTGTGAACTTATGTCCTCAGGTTGTGTCTTAAAAATCCTCCAGTGCTCTGATTTAGCATTGCTTTTTGAGCGTAAAAGGCAGTGAATGCTCATTATCGAGAGAGTCTTGTTTTGTCTTCAGCTGTGGGGCATTCGGTGTTATTATATCTAAAAATAAATACTAAATACTAAGGAAAACTGTGCAGCTGGACTCCCGAAACAGAAGCAATGAGATTGTTATAGAAGTCATCTAAAGGATAATTAGGAAAGGCAGTTTTTATTTTCTTTTAGTCATGAAGCGATGATGAAATATCATATTTTGGTGTCCATGCATACTCTCAGTCTGAGAGGCAGATTTCAAATTCACCTCACAACTTCACACATGTGTAATGGCTGGAATGTTTAGTGTCGCAACATAGAAAAGGGGTCAGGAGCCAGGTTTAGGAATCTTTTCTCCTGTAGTAAACCCTCTTGCTTTGACGCACCCTCACTCCCACTCCTGCAGTTTGGTTAATCATTGCTCCCAGTCGCTGCTAAGCTGCAGAGTGGCGCGGGCTGGCGAAAGAGTCAGAGAGTAAGTGAGAGATAGGTTGTGAAAGAGGGAAACCCTTGGAAAACTGTCACACATGGCGTAACATTTTAGCCACAAGGAACACCAGGGTCTGAACCTCTCCGGTGCAGCGGGACACGTGCTGAAATGTCACGCGCTCATTATCTCTGTCTGGTAAGAACTTACCCAAGATGCCTACAGTAGAGATGTTTGGAAGAGCAGAGGTTAAAGTACAGTATGGTTTGAAGATATGCCTGTAGTTTCTGCTTCCAAATGACCTATGCCAGAATTTGTGATGGGATGTCACCGTTGTGAGTCTTTTAGCCACCAGAACACAAAAACAGAATTGAAATCAGAACATGTCTGATGCTGTCAGAGGTACAAGAGTCAGCGCTATGATTTGAGCTGGACAATCACGACCTGATGTCAGGCCAGACAAGAGTAGCTCTGATCTCTCAGCGCCTATGGCAATCAGTGAGGCTGTACTGCAGCTAATGCTAATTGTTTCCAGTAGTTATTACACTGAGCAGTCCATTAAGAAAGGCCTTGGTGTAGATTTGATCAAGTCTGATAGTGTGGATATTAAGATTGTGACTGGAACCTCCAAGCTGCTGTTTACCCCAGATTTTAGAAGCTCGATGACATTTTCAGTCAAAACAGAGACTGAAAAACTCGTGAATTAAGCTTTCCCACCCAAGAACATTGCAAACTGTTCATCTGTCACGACACATTGTGCTCTTATCTGTTGAAAAAATACCTACATTCGTTTGTGAAAAATTCCTTACACAACATCACGAGCTCGTCCTCCTATCCACAGCAAGACTGGAACGGAATGGAATTTGAAACGTTTTAGCCAAAAATGTTTCCATGGTCAAGGTGTTTTTTGCAGAAACGTTTCAGATTTCGTTCCGTTCTCCGGCTTCAGTCAAATCTCTCGGGAGTGTTATGGCAGTCGATGCGAAGGTGAGTGACCTCTGGCACACACTGACAAACACTCAACCAAATACTCGCTGGCTTCAGCAAGAAGGTGGACAGCTGCCAGCAGAATCACTGACTACATGCAGCTGTCTCACTGCAGGGACAAACAGCATTTCCTGGAGGTTTTTTGGCCCGATGATGTTCTGGTCTGTCTTGTATAGCTGTAAACTTTGTGGACCATGGCTCTATTTGAATGAATAAGCACTCCTTTCCTCTCCACACTTCTTGAGCGTTAAGAACACAAGTTGAAAAGACATAAGACTTCTCCTTTTATTTTACTTCCTTGCCAGCATACCTTCTAAATTTGGTGTAATTGTAGTGTGAACAATATGGCCCAGCCTTTTCCTGTTGTGGTTCTCTTGTTTTGCGCAGCCAAGCTGAGCCTCATTAACAGCAATGTGTTTGCAATGAGCTTTGATGAATTGTATGTCTCTGTGTCATCCAGGCAGCGTGGCCAGTGTAGATAAGCCCCCTCATGAAGTGAAAACTCTTCTCAGCTCTGCAGTATCCCATCCCAGCACCAACAGCAGAAATAAGGGATGTCACAGCTGTTCCTCTTTTTGGCAGTGCTCATTGTCTCCTGCAGTATCCAGGTGGGTCCAAAAACATGTTTAAAAGCACACACACACAGACTAATATCTATCTATCTATCTATCTATCTATCTATCTATCTATCTATCTATCTATCTATCTATCTATCTATCTATCTATCTATCTATCTATCAT